CCCCCCCCCCCCCCCCCGCCAGACGGTAGCTAGAAGCTGAGTGAGGAGGCGGGGAGTGGCATAGATAGGATAAGGAAAACGTCTTTGGGCCACCTTCGGCGAAGTAGGAAGGAATGATTTACCGGTCCTGTGGGAACAATGTTGCGTCCTCTCCAGGGCACGTGGTCAGTGGTCTACTGTAACAACTAGGGCATGCAAACCATGAGTACACCTCCTCTCCCTCGTGACATAGCTTTTGTGACGGAGAACACCTGGGTTTGTTTCCCGTGGACGGATGACGGGCGACCAAAATTGGAAGGTAGCTGTTGTCTCCCGTCCCATTTCGTTACGAAGTCAACGGCGCCTACACGCTCGCGCGCACCCCCCCGCTGTATAGAATGCACACAGCACCACACACGTGTACGACGCAGATACGGTGTGGAATGTTAACCTTACCGTTTGTGCTCTACCGTCATTACGCGGGCACCACAGGGAAGCCACCGTAACGACCCTGCCACCGGGGGGCACGGTGAGCCTCGGGGTATCTCGAAGGCCACCGCCGGACGACGCCAGCGGGGAGCTCTTGTCCAGATCGAAGCTGGGAGACGGGGAGAAGACTTGGGGGTTCTGCACCTCGGACGGAGGCGCGGCAGGGACGGTGAGCTACCGTCCCCTCTCTGCGTTTGTTTCATTGTTTTGGGACTCACGACACAGAGGCGGGCTTCATGCGGATGGTCGTCCGCGCTCGAGCCTTTCCGGGTTATTGCTGGACACACGACGGGTGGTTCGCCCTTTGCCCGGCGTTTTCCACCTCCTGTCAATCTGGAGCGAGATCAGGACCCATAATTGAAGTTCACTCGTACAAGCGAAGCTGGGCCAGCCGCAAGACGAAATCGAAGTGGTTGGGTGCAATTTACCATGCCCCAGACTTCTGTGCGTCACTAAGTAGCTGTGTATCCTGGAAGGAAATAGCAAACCATGAACGGTTCTCCGTGCCGCCTCTCGGCCCCCGCCCCCCCCCTCTGCCGGATGTCTTGTTTTATCTCCGGTCTCTTGAACTTGCGCCTTGCTCACGCCCTTACCCCCTGCCCAACCTCGTGTTTTGTTCTCATCCCTCCTGTCCCTCGAACGCCGCCTGCTCAACGCAGCTGAAGGAGGGCGACGTTATCGGAATAGCGTTAGATTTCACCGACCTGCCCATGCTGTTCTTCACGCGCGGGGGCGAGCCGCTGGGGGAGGGGGACGAGTTGGCCGTGATGAGAATTCGGGGCACCGTGTATCCCGCGTTCGGGGTGGGCGGGGGTGCCGCGCTCAGCGTTGCCTTCGCGCGAGACTCGTTGGCGCACACACCACCGCGGAAGTGCGAGGCGCTGATCGTGGGGCAAGACATGATTTGATCTGCCTTGGTGGATCGGTATGGTTTGGCTTCTCCTTCATTGTTATACGCGTAGGATCTCGGCAACACCTTGTATGTTGTGGTTGGCGAATTTTTGGGGATATTTACTGTTGATCTTCTTGAACGTGTGAATCTGGTTCTTCATGCTAGTTGCTGTGTCGCAGTAAATAGCGCCAATTATTTTGTTCCTTTGAGCGGGTCGACCGCGTTGGGTTCCTCCAAGATTAACCGCCGCCGGTCCTCGGCCTTTTTCTTTAACCGCCCCTGACAATGCTGATGCTGCGGTTTCTGCCACAGCAACTCTTCGAGGGAGTTGCATCTCGCATCGGGGGGGACGAATGATTGCTTGCAGGGTGGGTACCCACGGCACGCGCTTTCGTTCCGGTCTTGAGGGCCCCCAGCAAATCACGGGCGCAAATACCCAAGCGTTCCGACCACGTGCCGGCACTCGCATCGCCAAGCATCCGCACACATGGCGCGAATAAAGCAGTGCCGTTGGCACGTATCATTACTCGCGGGACACATACATCCCAACGCCAAAAGAATTGCATATCGGATCAAAATTGGAAACTTGGACGCCGAGGCTAGCTACGGCGGCGGGGTTTTCAGCGCCGGCGAAGAAAGGGCAGCGCCGCCCAGATGGGTTGTGGCAAACCACATCCTAAACCCCAAACAGCGTATCACAGACCATGTCGTCGGAGGAAAGACCTTGGGACTCATGAGACACGTCTATGCAAAGAGACCGTGACACACGTAAAAAGCCCTGAAGATCAGAACTTGTAGACCATGTCGGAGGTGTAGCCTAGCGCCTTGAGCACCCCGCCGATTTCACCTTGGCTCTTGTCTTCGTTCTTTGGCCCGGAAATGGCCTGTGCACGTGTGGGAATCGAAAACCAAGCGGAGCAATGTTCGGTTGTGTGCGTTTACGACCTTGCTAAACGGCTGACCAGTGACAAGATGCCAGTTATAACATGTATAGTGGGATAGAAAACGATAGGAAACGCGAACACGCTTTCTAACCAAATGTGTGTGCTTACTAGCATCGATGCACGCAATACCCGGCTGACCCATGAAATTTCGTCAGTCTCAAGAACGGGAATACACATGTTGTGCGTATTTCGCTGAACATCGGCCGCTCAAAAACAGCTCACCAATGACAATACGTCAGTCTCAGCGCGGCTAACAACGGGAAACACTTCCAGAGGCCACTACAGTACGTGTGTGCATCGGGGGTAGGGGGGGTTGTCAGCATGAGGGCGGACCGCACTCTTCTCTTCTTCCCGAGAGGTGTTGACACTCATCTCTCGCCCCATAGATGCCATTTGTCACACAAGTGCTCCGGACGTCTGCTTGGCAAGTCGTGGATCGGCAAAAGTGCTCGGCATTTCCCCGATCGAGCGAATACAGTTAGCGGGATGCAAGAGAGGAGCAGGCTTGTTGAAGGCGTTGGACAAAACAAACCCACATTTATCGAAACCATTCCAATCGCCACGGTAATTTTATCGTTGCGCGGGAAAGCATTGCGACGTTGTAGCACGGGGCCCAGCCAACGAGGGCAGCCGTTGATGTTGACCACTCTCCCAACCTTTCATGCTGCCCTCGTTCGACGGGGCCCGTTCTACAACGCCGCAGCGCTTTTCCCGCGCACCACGACTATCGCGTTCACACAAGGGTACTTGAACGAACTGCACGGGTAGCTGCGAGTGCGTGCAGCGCGGACTGGTCTCCCCGTCATGCAGTCCGTCGCCTTGACGGACTTAACTCCAAATGCCGAAGAGCGAAGCGGACATTCTTCAGAGAAAGCAGGAAACTTCACCAACGCGGACCCCGATGGCCTAACAGCTAAGGCATGCAAAACGTGACTACTCCTCCAGCCACGCCTCCAACACACTACAACTACTCTTGCCGTCGATCTCGGCCACTCACGTTCATCATGCCCGGTGGTCCGCACACGAAGATGACCGAGTCTCCGGAGGGCTTGGGTAGATGGGTCTCGATCAGGGAGGCGTTGACGTGTCCCGTCGCCCCCGTCCACCCCTCCTCTGCCTTGTCCACCTTGCTCACGCAAGAAACGTCGGAAAAAGGCACGTCTGAGCGCGCGCAAGACGCAACTCATCCACGGATGGTCTCCAATTTCTCCACCCAGCTACTTCTAATTTGTTCAACTTTTGGGGGTCCCCGCCACTATTGTGTTTAAAAACATGTGGGGTCCCCTCAACCTTCACTCTTAGTACTTATATGGTTGGTTGGACTGCTCGAGATACTGAGGCTCTCTCCGAACGCAGAAAGGCATCAACATTTTGAGGAGGAGAGGGGGGTACACCAACGGGACAGAGAAAGTTGCCACGCAGCAAAGCAACGCAGAGCGGGACAAACACCGACACCGACATCTCGCTCATCACTACCGGCGGTGCATCCTGGTGTGTTCCCCGGAATTAAACACGCCGGTTGGGTACGTCACGGCGCTTCGCGTTTGGTCATGTGTGAGAGAGCCTGGTCCGATGAGCACCCGGCGGGATACGAGGTCTATACTATGCACGGCTGTGAGTATCCCCCCCCCCCCCCCCCNCCGACACCGACATCTCGCTCATCACTACCGGCGGTGCATCCTGGTGTGTTCCCCGGAATTAAACACGCCGGTTGGGTACGTCACGGCGCTTCGCGTTTGGTCATGTGTGAGAGAGCCTGGTCCGATGAGCACCCGGCGGGATACGAGGTCTATACTATGCACGGCTGTGAGTATCCCCCCCCCCCCACCCTGATGATGTCCACTTACGACGTAGACGACGTCGAAGTTGTCGTGCTCCGCGGCAAGCTTGTCGATCTCCGCCTTGAGCATGATGTCGGCGGCGGTAACGTTGGCGAAGAGGAGGGTCACCTTCGTCTTGTCCTCAGGGTTCAGCAGCAGCTCCTGCAGCACCTGCAGCATCGGTGTGATGCCTGCATTTTTCGACGTTGATTAGTATGTCGCGTGGAAAGTGTGTGTGTAGGAGGTTAGCGGTGAATCCTAGGCAGCACCCGCATCATCGGAATAAAACTCGCTACTGGTGTCGATTCAAATGTCGCGTGCAAAGTGTGTGCGTGGGCGTGAAGTCCTAGGGTGAGAGAGGTAGGTGTCGTCAACATACAAGCCAATCAGTAGCAGCGAGTGCCCCGAGTAACAACCACACCAGGATACCGAATACAACAACAGTCATGCTATGCTTGCAGCGCTAGAATGAACATGAGCTCGTTGGTCCAACTCAAAACGAGGTTGCTGCAAGCAACTACTGTACATCCATCACGCGGCCACAAAAAAGGATGGGAGAGAAGGGGCAACGACTACATCGACGATACCTAAACAACAGACTCTACGCAGGGAGAAAGAGACGCTCCATTTTTCGCCGTTGGTATTTGGCGAGGATTGAAGTCTTGCCGTAAATGACACAAGATATCACACCCCCTGGACCATTTTTCAAAACTCGATTTCTCAACAACAGAAAGAGTCACGGCGCCGAAAACGGCGGCGTTGGAACCGTCTCGTCGAGAGCTTTCCAAAAATGCATCGTTTCGTTTATCCACCCTCTTCGTTGTGGAGTAAGCGAGCTTTGAAAATCGGTCCAGGGGGTGTGTTATCTTGTGTCATATACGGTACACAGCAGTACCAAATTGTCCCTTTTTTCTATCCGTTTGTGATGCCATCACACCGAGACCCAAAAATCAAGCAAAAAAACGCAAATGCGGAAGCAGTCGTGGCACACGGCAATTATGACTACCAAAAATACGATGCCCGAACTTCGACGACTCACCAGTCCCGCCTGCGATCATCCCGATCTCCTTCTTAACGTTTGGCGAGTAGTCGAACTTGGGGAACGGTCCCTTCACCTGAGGAGCCCAGCAGTGCACCCGGCCCGTAAAGCAGCCCCCCCCCCGTACCATAAAAAAGCGACACAGTCATCGCCGCCGTCGCCGCCACGTTGAAAATAGGGCATAATATGTAACACATCAATAGCAGTTGTTGAAAAAGAAAGAGAGTCGGCGTCAGGAGATGTGATTGTGAGGAGAGCCAAATGCTTCAAATCGTACGCGAGTTGCCATCAAATCCGGACCGTGACATACCAGCCCAACAACGCTGAAATTTAACAGGGGACCTACGGCAACTCGGAAAGCGACGGGGGATCCCAACAGCAGCAAAAAGTACGAATTGAGGGAGGCTTTACTACTGCGGGTGCCACGCGATTTTTTTTTCAGCTCGAATTTCCTGCGGGCAGAGGGGCCAAACGGAACACCCCAGGGAACGCGCATCGCCTTCCCGTCATCGACCTTCCCCTTGCGACAAATACCGCACGTGGCGAGAATACGGGACTCGCTTTCTCAAGACGCAAACCACCAGCAGCCTCCAAACAACATGCATGTTACACGGTAATAATGAAGGTTACATAGCGGGGGGGGGGGGGGGGNCTCGCATCCCTACAAAGCCGGGACGGAGCACGCCGGGTTCTCACCGGACCAGGCTCTCACATCACCAAGGACGAAGCGCCGTGAAATATTCGGCGAGTCGCATGAAGGGTGCGCTGCATCCTGCTAAGGGTTTTCGGCATCTTGTGCTTACTTCCTTGCGTACGGATGACAGCTGCGTATGACTTAGTTTAATTTCTGGTGCTTTCGCTTCCAGAGACAGTTGTAAGCACTGTGTAACTGCCTCGAGGGTGCTTGACCATTTTAACACAACGTGGTGCGATCATCCCCCTTGCGCGGAGCGGGTTCTCCACCTCGCACAACATGATCTACTCGACCACCATTATGGTTACCGCCAAAAATAAAACCGGAGGTAAAAAAAGAAACGGTAACCTGGTTGCCGAGTTCACGAAGTGAATTGGCTTGTTTTACAACGTCTTTGCCAAGCGACGAAAACCCAATCCCGATGGCAAACACCGGGGGGGGCGGCTTGTTTTACAACGTCGTTGCCAAGCGACGAAAACCCAACCCCGATGGCAAACACCGGGGGGCGGGGGGGTAGGTTGACGTGGACCGCCTTCGCGAAAAATGAAGTTCATGAAGGAATAGAACACGGAGGGGGTACGCAGACCCTGTCCCCAACCCAACTTCCCCAAACTCTGTACTTCATCCAATATATTTACTTGAACGAAACACGCTGCGAAGGCTACTTACTGGTTGACGGACTATGGCAACCCCAGCCCTAACCTACAACCCTGTTGTCCGTCTGCGGAAGATGACCGCCGCGCTCACCGCAACGGTGTCGCCGACCTTGAGGCTGAACAGGTGACTGGACACGTTGCCTTCGGGGTACACCTTGATCACCAAGTCGAAATGGCCCTGATCACATGCAACACGCCCGCATGGGAGTCAAAGGGTGGTGGGGGGGCGAACGACGTTGGGTTGTTGAACGTGCAAACGCGGAGAAATAGGAAAGTTCGTGTCATCCTTCAACAAAAACGGCCGACGCTGTTGTTACTGCTTCTATTGTGCTGTCTTCGCATTTTGTGTGCCGTTCCGGCCTCTGCTTCGCCTCTTCCACCTCACGCGGACGCCTTCCGTGATCACAGACCAACTACCCCAGAACGGTGATGACCCACCTTGAAACACCAAACTTTTCAGAGAAAAACGCAAAAAAAAAAGCAAGAGAATACAAGATTGGAAGACAATTGCAGCGGGGGTTGTACTAATGTCAACGCATGCCGTCGTCGTTACAGACCATCAAACTCTCATCCCTGTAGGAGGGGAGGTGTTGAAATGACCCTCTGGCTTGCCGCGGGGCCTCCCTCCCTCCCTTTCTCCAGACACGAACCTTGGTGTCGTTGGTAGTGGTCGGCGTGTACGGCCGTACGGCCACGCTCCCGTCCTTGCCCTTCCCCTTGACCACGATGCACGAGGCCGTCTTCATGCCCATCACGTGCTCCTCCGAGGGCAGGCCGATGCGGAACCGCCTCACGTTGTGCGTCATGTCCTCGATTTCCCGCAGGGGAAAGTCCCGGAACTCCTTTTGGTGGAGACAATTCCACCGGAGAAACCACCGGTCGAAAGCGGGCGAGGCGGGGGGAGGGGTCGAGGGGGCGGCGGTGAGCACGGCAAAAGTGGTTGGTGGCTGAGGGGAAAGTCCCGGAACTTGTATTAATAGAGGTATTCCAGGCGAGTACATACCCAAAATGAGCCCAAAGCGTGGCGGGGGGGGGGGGGGGGGGGGGGGGGGGGG